GAAGATGGCCATGCTCTGCCGCCGCATACATCGCCCACTTTGTGCACCCTTCATTTCGATTATAGTGCAGCCACTTCACAATGTGAAGGTGACCAACTCCCGCTGCAGCATCCATGACACATTTCCCCCAACTTTCGATACCATTAATGTGCAGCCATTTAACCCAATTCTAAATTTCCACTTCGTGCAGCCCACAAAGCAACATTATGAGATTGAGACCACCAGGCGTCGTCAAAGGAGGACTCTTCACGTCCCTGGTTTACGCCGTGTGGTCGAAACTTCCAAAGAAACTGTACGACTTCAAGCTGGCCGTGTTGTGCGGCGATGTCAATTGGGTACTCGTGTGGCCACTGGGTTTTCTTTTTTATTATCAGTCGCAGCAGAACCTCGACGCTTTGTACGTGGCCATTACGAATCGCCAGTTCTAGCGGTGGAAAGTAATCGTTTGTGAAGCGTTTCTCACAGAGATATTGCACAACTTTCCAGTGACCTTCTCCAGCCGCCGAGCTGATAATATCATTGTGAAACCCCCTCTTCCTAATCAACTCGATTACTCTAATTCTCATGGGGTGCTGAAAGAGCCATTGTACACATTCCAGGTGGCCGCTCTTGCAGGAGTCTGTCAGCGCGATACGCCAATTTGCCACCCAGCACTGTGGGAAACAAGGCAGACACTCTGCTTGAAGCAGTGGGTGCAAAAGCGCAATTTGCTGCATGAGCTCCAAGTGGCCACCACCTGCTAAATCTTTTATAGCGGCTACAGCTGCATCAGCATCTCGTCGTAAATAGCCACAATCTAGCATCAATTGAACAATTTCTTTTCGGGGACAGCCCTTTGCGTAGTCAGCACACACCTGCCTGGCGGTAACAACACCTTGAAAAGGTCATCACTGCCGAGCTTCAGCACATGCTTCATCACTTGGTAATAGTTATCGCCACGTCTCTCTTGTTCTTCCACAGTGTTCTCACACAGCCAGCGTACCATGTCACAGTGACCGTTTTCAGCAGCAAGCAACACGATTCCGGTCCGCCCAACAGACAATATTGTCAGATCCACCGCGTTCGAAAAATTCACCATATAATTTTTCATCGAGAATACGGCCCTTGTCGTCAATAATTACGCAGTCACTGGTACATTCTTTTCCTGTATGTCGAGCTTCCGAGAAGAGCGTCCAAAGAAGCTGCACCACCGACAAATGACCAGCCTTCACAGCTGTACCAACCACGCCGACAGGGGCTTCGCAGCCGGAGAAGTGGGAGAATAGCCATCTCACAACCTCCAACTCACCTCGACCAGCTGCCGTATCCATCGATTGCGAGAACTGATAGCGATAGTAGCGTGGATCCGACCGCAGATAGTTGGTGAGTGTCCACTGAGCCACTCTGTCAGCCTCAGATGTGCAACTCGATGCCCATATCCAGTCCAACAACCGAACGCGCCCTGTGGAACAGGCTTCTTCAAGCGTCATGTTTGGCGGAGGGCCGAGGAAATTAGAGATGACCCACGATGCATCTTCGATTTCTTTGATTTTAGGATAGGGACGAAGCACCACTTTTATACACGATAACATTGTTGCGCGAAAAAGGTGGAGTGACAATTAAATTTAGTGGGACCGATAGATGGATGGCTGTTATCTGTAATTCGCAATCGTTTGACTTGAAAAATCCCTGCATAATAGTTATACTATAAATCAGAAGTGACGAACTGAAAATGACAGGATGCGCTTAGGTACTCGGAAATACTTTCAAAAACAAAAACATTTTCTTTATTTTTTTTAGTTTCAAGAAGACATATTAATTTGCAAGTCCCCCCCCCCCACACACACACCCAAAAATCCTAAGAGTGCCAGGGTACCGTTCTATTTGAAAAGCACTGAGCTGTTTGTATGCGACAAGATCACTTGCCGAGTCATCGCTACATGTATCGTAAATGGTGACAGTTATGCTTGTCGAAGCCAAGTTGGTTATGAGGCCAATCCCATTTGACTGCGAGATGACGCATCTTCCGACAGGAAGTGTTGAATATTGCAGCCGCGACCCATTTCGCATCTGACGCTGGGCTAAATGCTGATTTTTTTTGCTCTACATGTTTCGGTGCAAGAGCAACCTCTTACGTGCATGCGCCTAAAGTTCTATTCCTCCTCGGTAGGGTACCCTGAGTAATGGTCGTTTAGCCATTCTTCAATCAGGTAATCGCCTGGCCTGGCCGCGTCGCCTGAATAATCGTACTTCGCTTCTTGACAAAATTGAGTCGTGAAGATGTCGGGACAGTTCATTCGTAGAAATAAAAGCACGTCGAACTGGGTTTTCGAGCAAAGCCAGAATCGATTATTCGGTGGAGGGGGAGTCACACACTTGAAACGAAGCCAGAAGGCCACTCGCAAGTGTCCGTTGTTGACGGCATGGCTGAAAGCTCGATGGGTACATCCTTCCGAGCGATTGGTCTGTAGCCACTTCAAAAGCTCCAAATGGCCATTTCTAGCAGCGTCGTCCATCGCTCTCTTTGTACATTTAACTTTGGTATTGCCATGTAGCCATTTCACCATTTCGAAATGACCATTGCCAGCAGCGTCGTCCATAGCATCGGTGGTCCACCCTCGGTATCTGTTGGCATGTAGCCATCTCACCACTTCTAGGTGCCCTTTACCCGCCGCAGCGTTGAAAGCTTCAATGGATCGAGCCCACCAAATATTCTTGTGCTCAATCTTCCTCCGCTTCGAAGATGTCGTGCCTTGTTCTGTGCATGGATGCATCAACGGTGGATCTCGGACGTGCAAGAGCTGGAGAATTTTCAGGTGACCATTCTGTGCAGCTTCAACTACTGCGGTCTCGACAGGTTTGCGTTCACTATACATGCACGTTGAGCAGCGTTCGAGTAGCACTTTCATGCACTCTAAATGACCCTCTGCCGCTGCGTTTCTAAGAGCATGGGCGCTGGTATCATCACAGCCTTGATCCAAGAGATAACCCACCAGTTCAGCGTTTCCACTTTTTGCCGCATCATCTAGAAGACCGTCGAACACGAAGTGATCTTTCAAGCCAGCACCTAACGGGTGCTCCATCATCCACTTGACCATCTCAAAGTTGCCACGGCTACATGCCAATGCAATGGAAAACTTCCACTCTCTCGGCCAGCGCGATATTTTCCGTCTCTTGTTTCTAATCCGAGCCAGTCGCTGCATGAGATCCAAGTTGCCATGCGAAGCTGCCATGACAATTCCATACGCTCCAAAGTCTTGGTTCTTCCTCACGTCCTCCCTCTCCAGCACCCACTCGACTGCTTCAGGCTTGGCCATCTCGTGGATATATTCCAAAATCTCTCGGTCCGCAGGCATCAGAAACTCTGCGAACTCCATGGCTCCATCGTTCACAGCAATCCCCACAATCATGTCAAGCTCCTCCTCTGTGCTGTCGTAGGGCACGTACTCTTTCAACCAACGTGCAACTTCATAGTGACGACGACGGACAGCAGCTTCCACTGATTGGCCTCCCCATCGAACCAAGTTACCGGGACCGTCCCACTCTTCTGGTAACGCCGGGACGCTCTCGAACCACGAGTCTTCGCCACCTTCTCCGTAGCTCATTTGGACGATCTCTCGGTTGAAATCCCACCCTGCGTCGTTGTTTAACATAAACTCGAGAATGGCTAGATGGCCGTTTCCAGCTGCTTTCGTGACTGCTTCCGATGGAACTTCACAACCCGAAAAATGGGTAAACAGCCACTCCATTATCTTGAGGTCACCTCGAGCTGCTGCAATCTGCGTCGCTTTGTGGAATTGCCACTGGTAGTACTGTTCTTCTGATCGTAAATAGTTGCACAGAGTAGGACGGGTAGGTTCACTGGACGACGCGAGAGGTCGGCGAAGCGAGTAAAGACGCCAAAACAGTTGATCCGAATTTGCACGCTTCAGTTAGGGAGAGGTTGGATGATGGACCAAGGAAATTGGCGACAAAGGGTCCGATGTGAGGTAGGCTGCCCACATCTGGATGCCCACGTAGGACGAACTCGACGATGCCGAGCTGGAAAGATGGCATTGCTGCATAAGACAACCAGCCAATACATATTCGAAAACGATTGGCTAATGGAAGTTTGAGCCAATCACCTTTGAAATTTAAACTGTAAGAAAACACTTCTGAAAAAAGTTTTCAGCAAAACTCATGCTTCAGAAAAATGTTTTTTTTTTTACTAAAATAGCCCACCGTCGATGCTCCTTTATGTTTTGCTCCAGATCTTCGCTTGCTTGTTGGAACATTTCCACTTATTCTTGTCTCCAAACCTGGACACCAATAGCTTTTGAATCGCAGGAGGCCACCGCACGGCACACAACAAAATCTTCATAGAAATTCTCACCATTGTGAAAATGATCACCACGATCGTTGTGACGATAGCGGAAAACACGCGAAATGGGATCAATCTTCGTGATGCCCGACGACGTGGATACAAAGCAGCACGCACAGCTCGGCCGCACAGCCAGAAGTTAATGTGCTTCGGTAGCAGGACAGCGAAACGAATGGCGCTTAGGACGAGCAGCAAACGTCGAACTGCCAAGTCCACGAAATCTCGACCCAGCATTTTGCTCTCCTTGGGACGAGGCTGAATCATATTCCAAAGTCGAACTTCAGTCTCAACTGTCGTTACTTTACTCCTCCACTCTAAAAATCATGTTAACACTACGCTACAGTGTGGTCCAGATGAGACCTTGCCTCGCTTCAGTCGGTTGGCCCGGGTATTTCTCCTCTAGCCAAGCTTCAATCAGGAAATCGCTGCTGGCAGCACACTCTTGTGAAATGTCGCTCCTGGTCCTGCGTTCAAACTCCGCCGTGAACAGCGAAATATATTGTAAAAACAGCAGAGTATCGAACACCTTTTCAGGGTAAATCCACAGTGTGTTGTACTGCAGAATCAGCTCTAGTGAATCCACGACGCCACACGCACATTCCCGTTGGCCATTGCATGCTCGGTGGCCTTGATGGTGCATCCTTCCGACCGGTTTTTATGCAGCCAAGGGATCACCTCCAATCGGTCCTGCGCTGCGGCGGAATCCATAGCGAGCGTAGTACAGACTGCTGTCGTGTTGGTATGAAGCCATTTCCCGGCCTATCCTATCCAGGTGGCATCACAGGAACACTGTCGACCCACACGTCCTCGACAAGTTTCACTTGCTTAGTCTCGTGCTTAAACTCGCGTCCAGCGCCGACTTGCAAATATTTCAATACCGGGAAATGCCCCTTCTTGGTCACCACTTCCGAGGGCACTGCAAGCCCGAGAAATGGTAGAAAAACCATTTCACCATTTTGATGTCACCTCGTCCCGCTGCGACTTTCAGTGCCTGTCGAAAATGCCATTGTTTGTAGTACTGTTCGGATTCATTGAGTGATAATCTAGTGTCACTAGAAGTGACTCTTCGCGGCGCAAGAACTGAATTTCGGATCTGCACTGCGAACAGAGATCTCCCTTCCCAAGCTCAAGAAACTTGGATCCGTGTAGCTAGAAACCTTTGCCTTCCACACGTGTCCAAGCACCACGATAACAACCCATTTAGTCACTCGCGGCGAGTACCATCGCACGACCATGTTGCTGAACGACAAAATAACCATTTGAACCAATAAAAAACGCAAGAAACTATTTGGTTTGGTTTAATTGCCAAAATTATGAAAATACCAATGTACAGATTGAACAATATTGTCCAAATTTGGATGGTATCGGTGCTTCGGGAGTAAGAAAATGATATATCTTAATTTATCATACTACCAGTTCACTCAATAATATTATTCATGCAGTACATTTACACCGAGTACACAAAGACTTTTCGTTCGTAGGGACTTTACAGCTGATACGTTGGGAGGAGAGCATGTTATTAAGTGCAGCAGCATCGGATTCACCAAAGTGCCTTACCCCTTCCTGCTCAGCAGCAGTAGACTTCACTTTATGCGAAGTGGTGAGAATCGGAGCGACATGTAAAGGCAATCCCATCGGTAGTCATAGCCGCTTTTTATGCCTATTTAAAAGGATTCCTATCGCAGGGTGTACCATAAAAATGGATTAGAGTATACCAATAACTCACCACAGTCAAATCAGCACTAAAAGGTACTATAAAGACAATCAAACCTTTAAAATTGGTTATACACATTAATAGATGCCGAATTTCTGGCTAATTTGCTCGCCATCGTAGCAGCCACCATATTTGAATCTCACGAATCCTATTGTTATGCATTGATATTCCAATGTAATTACGTAGAGTGGCCGCTTGTACCGAATTGAGAAAATACTTCAGCGACAGAGATTTCATCTTTTTTGCGCGAGCAATAGATCAGGTTGTCGTTATAGCGTTACTTCCGCAATCGAGACGCTATATCCATGCTAACATCAAAGTAAAACTGATCAGAAAGAAAAGTCTTTCTGATTGTTAAGCTATCTCCATCACCAATAAGTGAAAATATTTATGTAATTGAATGCTCTGTCGTGACGAGATGACGCATCGTGACTGTCAATCTCAAGAAAATAGTTGTTCGTGTAGCCGACCGGTATCCGTTTAAAATATTTTGCTGAGCAAAACTAATCTTCCCATCCGCAAAAAATGGTCTCTGTGTTTCGCGGTGATCAAGATATGCTGCGTGCACGGGCTCAGGTTCGTTATTTCTATACAACTTGCTCGGGTGAGTAGAAATTGACTGCTTTCCTTTTTTCGTCGACAACACGCAGCAACACGATCGACGGCATCGTGTGAATGGCCTTGAAGTGAATAGAGCAATACTACATTTTTGGAAAATACGACGGATATCACGGCGTAAAACATAAATGCCGCACGTGACTCATTCTGGCCAGCGCATTTTTCCATAATAAGTATTAGAAAGTTGGTGTCTTCAGGTTTATCCTGCTCCATTTTCGCGTACATTTTGCGAGGTGGTAAGTGAGAGGCAGGCTACACAAAGCATCGGCATCTCTTCCGTGTGTTCATTCGTCATTCAGCAAGACTTTATTGTTGTGTCTGCAGTGACAAAGTTGTGCATGAGTAAGTTTGAGCTGAAATAATCCGCCGATGGTCCGTAAACAGGAAAAAAAGAAAAACTCCCTCCAAGGTACTCTATCTGAATTTGTATGGACGGAATACAGTTATGAAAAACAGACTCCACGCCCAAGGAATCTCTTTATCATCTGCAATAACATGCGCACGTACCGATTGTTGTGGTGTATTATTCCCCTCTACGCACTTCCATTTTAGCACCCTCAGAGTCTGAGGCTCAGACGCTAGCTCCCTATCTTATTCAAAGTAATTCAAGAGACGCGCTATGGCACAAAGCATGTGCTTGATACTCGAGCAGAAGGTCAATCATCATCGGAGAATCAAGCAAACCCATCCATCAGCAATTTCATGCTAAAGGAGTGAATTTACTCATCGCTCGTGGTCAAAGTAAGCAGTGCTACACTAACTAGGCTGCGCAGCTTATCCGAATCTTGCTTTAAGCACGCCGATATATCAGCAACATAACGGTGTCGTGTAAAATTCCCTGAGTTTGAGTGGCAGTTAATGCAAGGCTAGTTTCGTAATTCTGAAAAAAATGAATGCAGCCATTTTATACAAAAAATGACTCAGGGTTTGTAAGGGGGGGTGATGCGCTCCAGCTTAAGTGCGAAGTGTCTGATATACAGATTCCCCTTCAAACTATGGAGACTTCGTTTGTGTGTTTTCTCTTATTGAACTCAAGTTAAAATGTAATTTTTGTCCTAAAATAAAGAACAAAACACAGAAAAGGATTTGTTATTAGTGATACACTTGACAATTCTATTTTGCAGCTGAAAGCATACCCTCGATAGAATTCGTAAAGGGCTTTATGTCCATAGACTACCAAGCCAAGTCGCTATATTTTGGTCCTATTTTTTGTCCTTCAACGTCAAGGTGTTGGTTGGGTTTTTTGCTGTATCGTCCTCAGTATCCTCTTCAGAATTATGGCATTCTTTGACTCATTCATCGTCGTCCTCGCTGTTGCTATCGTCGTCCTCCTCCTCGCTGCTGCTCACATCGTCATCGTCGGAGTCGTGAGCAACCATAATGAAGTTGTTCATTAACATTCCTAGAGCATCGTCATGTCCACCACCTTGTTGGCCTCCAACCACGTGAACGCGTGCTGCACCACCCAGCTGCCGTGCTATCTGCTGGGCGATATTCCCCGCGATTCGCTCTGCAAAATGCCGCTCACGTTGTTCCTCCGCAACGTCTGGAACGGGATAGTTGCGCCTCAGCCACTCTGAGATCGGGACATCATTGGCCGTGGCGAATCTCCCCGAAACATCGTCACGAGCACTTCGAGCAAATTCCGTCGTGAGGAGGTCCGGATACTCCGCGCTCAAGAACAGCAACACACCAAATACCTCCGTAGGGCTTGGTAAAGTAACAGACGCGGGGGCAAGCTCGGGGTGTTGTTGCCGTAGCCAGCAAGCGACTTTCAAGAAGCCGAAGCTCAGAGCTTGTTCGATCGCTCGGACGGTGCAGCCTTCGTTTCGGTTTCCACGTAGCCACTTTAACACGTTTAAATGGCCCCCACTAGCAGCGACGTCCATGGCGTTGTTTGTGCAACCCGCTGACGTATTGACATGTAGCCATTGCACAATCTCCAGGTGGCCGTTAGCCGCCGCGAAGTCCATTGCGTTTGAGGTACAACCCTCAGAGCGATTGAGCTGTAGCCACTTTACAACGTCCAGATGTCCATTCGCTGCAGCGCAGTCCATAGCAGCAGTCGAACACCCCTCCTGACGGTTAGCATGCAGCCATTGAACAGCCTCAAGCTGTCCATTTGCAGCCGCATCATCCATGGGGTCCGTTGACACCCAAGTTTGTCGATAGTAGCACCCCCTCCAATCATTTTACGATAGCCATCGGCATCCCCCACCACCATGCTAGTAGCCCTTTCTTCGCGGCCTTCGCCATCCTGATTACCAGAGAAGAATCCAGGAACTCCTGATGACCCCAAGCTCTGGAAGTACTGCAGCATACCCACGTGTCCACGTCTGGCAGCTTCGTGCATGACAGCGAAGTCAGGGATTGGCTCCGAGTCCGGCAAATGCTGAAGAAGCCACTCGACCGCTCCCATCTGGTTCGTGCGAATTGCATCCAACAGAGCGTTGCCAAACTTGTCGACTGCTCCTTGTTCGTACAGATACTGCATGACGTCGACGTTGCCCTTCTCGGCAGAGTGTGACAGCAGTTTGGACAGACTGTTGGTGGATTTCATCGTGTGGACAGCTTGACGTCCAGTCGGGTGCTCCAGCAGCCACTTCACGACCGAGAGATTGTCCGTCTTGCAGGCTTCTTTGAGAGCTTCACCCCACCTGTGCGACTCGATCCGGTCCTGGGGTGGCAGATTCAAGTGCTCACTCGCGATTCTCTTGATCAGATCCAAGTGACCGGTCACTGCCAAGTCCCGAATAGCAACGGCGGCACTTTTCTTGTCGCGTTTCAAGTAGCCACAGTCGAGTTTCCACTCGATCATCTCGGGGATATCGCAGTAGCGTGTATAGTCCAAGATGCACGCTCCTTTGGGCAATAGAGACTGACAGAACTCGATATCTCCAGCGTCCATAGCGTCCTTGATGGTCCACTCGTGCTGCTCCTCTGTAGTGTCGGTTTGGGGCGTGTGCTTGTAGAGCCAATGGGCCACATCCAGGTGACCGCAACGAAGAGCTTGCTGGACTGAGGCAGCTCCCCATTGCACCTTGTTGCCCTCTGTGGAGTCGTTCGCCAGTAGAAACTCCAGGACAGGCATGCTGCCCTTCTCAGCAGCCATGATCACCACATCTGAGAGCACGACACATCCCTTGAAGTGACGGAACAGCCACTGCAAGGTGCGCACGTTGTCGAGAGTTACGGCAACTTTCACTGACTCGACGAACTCCCAGCGATTGTAGAACTCGTCGGAGCGAAGGTAGTTGTCAAGCGACCAGTGGGTGGGTCTTGACGCTATGGAGACGCAGCTGGAGGCCCAGATCCAGTCCAAGAGGACGGTAGACTGGAAGCGACAGGCGTCCGAGAGCGACAGGTTGGCTCTGGGACCGAGGTATTGGGCGATGAGGCCCCCCACTTGGTCCAGAACGTCAGCGTACGGCTGCTGATGCAACACGAACGTCACACTCTGCAGCGTGAACGGCCGCATTGAGTGCAAGAGTTTAAACTTGCAGAGTGTTGGTCTGGGCGCAAATTGCGGAATGGGGACTGGCTTCGAACTTCGAGTTGGTGACGAACTTCGAGCGAGCGATTGGCTGATTTGAAAGGGGATGATTGGCGAAGTTGAAGTTTGTGGCCCAAAATCTTAAAACGAAGCCAAGAAGAATATCATTGGGGCGAAGCCCCCGTATTTACTTGTGCTCTTACCCTTTTTACAGTATAAGTTTTGAAATAGGTTAGGGTTACAATTTATCATTGCGCTTCCGGGGCCAAAATATCGCAATTTTACTTCTGTTTACGAACCAGGATGGAGGAAGAGCTATAAGCTTAGAGTATATAAATAGAAGGTTGAGGTGAATCACCTTCCGGGAATGTGTTAACAGTCGCTAAAATGAGGGTTATTTTTATAGCGACCCGTCGGAGGTCTTCAAACAGGCGGAGTAGGATTTGACCTAAAACGGTACTTTTTGTAGAAGAATTAGCGCAAGGAATTCTGTAGCCATCCGGCTCTGTGCCAATATTTAAGTTCGAAGCTACTCACATATATGGATGTACTCATACTAAATGAGACTAATTCATTGCAAGAGTTTATACTGTAAAAAGCCGGCAGGGTTCGAGGCGGCCGTAAAAAGTGAGGGAGAAGTACTGACGCTGTGAGTTGTTTTATGTTAATATCGGCATGTTGAAGCCGCATGGGTCACGCTGGCACTCAACAATGACAGCTCACATGCTTCAACGCGACTCAGCACTAATGTTTTAAAGATGAGGAGAAGACAAACATGTCATCGTGTTCACAATGCGGTGGCGGATATTGCACCATGATGAGATGATGCGAATGGGGCTAGACACTTCTAATAGAAAGCAAGGACAGCAATAATAGCATACATAGTAGTAATGATGCCAAGAAGATCGTCCAGTATCCAGTTGTAAGCTGTACAGACCGGCGGGGTGCGAGCCTGACCAATCCATTCCCGCTGCGTTGGAAAAATGGTGCGCGCGGTTCAATGCCTTGGAGAGTCGAGGACATGAATCGTATCCTTTTCACGCACGTGCGCCTAGAAGTCGAACACTTCAGCCCATCGGGCACAACTCTAGCAAATCAAATGCTGCCGTGTTGGTCGAAGTAGTGCGCAGTAGTGGGTGCTACAAATCTAGAAGTCGGATGTGTATGCGGTCGGCTCAGAGCTCGCTATGACTCAAAGCCACCAAGCCTTCGCACAGCAAGCTTGCCCTGCGAGCTGGCCGAGAAAGCTCTCACTTCCGCTTTTGCAGCGTCGAGCACAACCTCCACCCATACGACTTACCCGAAAACCCAAGCTTCTATCACCACCATGGAGTTGCTCGACAATTTGCGCAGCGCAGTTTTGCAGCAACGAGAGGAAGAGGTGACCAACTTCTTCACCAATGTCAACGAGCTGAGAGAATTCATTTCTGCGCGTGAACCTCCTGCTGGCGTAAACATCACCGTCAAGATGTGCTGCTACAATGCCAAGCGATTGAGCGCGGACAACGGGTCGCGCGTTACGCTGGTCAGCTCCAGTGGTTATGCAACGTTCTACGGTGTGCAAGAGGCGTTGAATGAGCTGAATTCGGTAAACCGAAAGCCATTTATTGCCCAAATTACTGTCTGGGATGCCAAGAAGAAGATCGGATCACCGAGAACTGGGCGCATGCACTTCCGTGTCGGCGCGTGTACGAGTTCAAGCAAGTGCACAGCGTCGGCTACTATTCCGACATTGCCAAGGGCAGTGTTCAACTTGACGAAAGTGCTTCGGATCGGGTCGTGGAAACGATGGGTCCAGTGCTCAAACGAAAAGTTGGTCAAGTATCGTCGGGAGGCCACCCCAAGGCTCGTGCCCTGCTACAGCACGACGAAAACGAGGGGCAAAAGGATGATGGCAGTGTAGAGACTCTTGCAACAGCGACGGCGCCTCGGAAGCGTGGTGCTGTAGCGTCGCGTGGGTAACGTAAGAGCAAACGGTGTCAAGGGTAGTACTGCCGCCTGGAACAATGCCGACCTCAATTCAGCCCGAAAAGTGCTGGAGCAGGAGCGCGAAATTTGCACGCTGGAGTGAAGAACGACGTGATGAATCAAGCGCGATTCATGAAAAGTTTAATTTCGCAATGTGAAACGTTAGGATGGTTAGGAGAAGAACGATACTCGCAGATGTACATATGAATGTTGGAAAGCTCGCACTTGCATGATTAACATGATGATAGCACGACACGAACATGAAACCACACTTGTAGCATTGAAGATCAATATGAAACATAGTTTTGGGAGGTGTGCTGATACAAATGATACGGGGATTATGGAGTCGTTAAAGCTCTTAATCAAAGCAGGTCAGAGGTACATTAGTTCTAGATCGCAGCGAAAACACCACCTGTCGCAACCACTTTGGAATTTGACCTACTCACGAAACGACAGGCATGATGCCGCGTCGGCAGTCCACCATGGATAGCGTTTTGGTTGGTGGTGAGGCTGCGGCAAACTTTAGGCGCGATAGATGGATTGTCAGACATGTGAGTTGATCTCGAGCATTTAGGTCCATTGCTGTGGTATATCTCGCTAATTTATGAAGAAAAGTTGGTGGAAGAGCGAACTGTCTTACAGGCCCTCACCGAGTATGAATGTGCGGACCAGAACCAATTTTCCTGTAGACCACAACGACTTCTTGACGAGGTAGGATGCTGCAAAATTGCCTCAAATGTCGGTCTTATCTAACGGTGTTTGTAGGACGAAATCCCTGAATGCAAGTGCCAGCCAGGGCAGGACTGGACTCTGACTTGCGATATCGGTTGTGAAAATCGTTCGGTAAGCTTAGAATCAACAGACAATTGACGAATCGTGCACAAAATTAATCATTGTGCAGATGCAAGTCGAATGTGTACGTGGAAAATGCGTCACGGGAGGTCACTATAGCAATCAGCAAATACAGGATGGTAGCAATGTTTAGCTGTCAGTAAAGAAGCTTCCCGACAAAGGGATATCGCTATTTGCTTGCCAGCAAATTTTACCAGGAACGTTTGTGTGTCAATACACTGGTGAAGTAATTCGCACGTCAACGTATCGGCGCCGAGAGAGGGTAAGTCACAGCTTATAACGTCTTACAGAATCATAAATAACTTTTTGAGTGTTTTTGAAATTATCTAGGAAATGAAGATGATCACCAACTTCTACGGCATGGCCGCCGCAAATAACGAGGTTATTGATGCTCGTGCTATCGGTGGTCTGGCAAGATTCGCGAACCATAGCTGCCGGTTCAACTGCGTGGTCGAACGCTGGGAGGTCAACGGCGAAATTTGTTGCGGGTTTTTCGCGAAGCGGCTTATTAATATTAATGAGGAGGTTACGATCGACTATGGAGGAGGAAACGCAGCAACCAAGGTGAGAGGAAAAAATCAATGCAGAATAGATGGTGGGTTTACTAACATGACTAAACTGAAGCGCACGAAGAAATGTCTGTGCAAGGCACCTGATTGACGTGGGCTGATACCGATGTAGTCAAGCTTTGACTTTGTAGTCCGATGTAGTCAAGCTTTGAATTTGTAATACATTCCAGATTTGTATTGTTCACGACCTATTTGCACTACTCGGACATCTAGCACTACTAATATTTCAAGATTACCTATTAAACACCGATTCACTGCAGGGAAGCATAATTGAAGTACACACGGAAACGACATCACCTCCCGACATCGTCATCGTCGAATTCGCACCGAGTGATTCAAGGCAGCTGCGTCCACGCCACTGTATATCTAGAAGAAAGACAACTTGGACTCATGCCTCTCCGTAGGGAAGCATACTTGAAGTACACACGGAAACGACATCACCTCCCGACATCGTCATCATTGAGTTCTCACCGAGTGATTCAAGGCAGCTGCGTCCCCGCCACTGTATATCTAGAAGAAAGACAACTTGGACTCATGCATCTCCGTAGGATGTGTGTACGGGGATTCAAGTACGCCTCAGTGTAGTGCAAGCAGTTCAGGGGGGTTATTGGCCATGGTCTTAACTGATGCACGCTGTGACATACTTGCTGGATGTCAAGCGTATGCGTGATCCGAGTCTAGAAGTCGATGCAGCCAACTCTATCGTCTAACACAAGTAGAACTTGTAGTACTACGGTATCGACTTACTGGGTGATGTCTAAAATAGTTTCCGTGCTGGTGTGCGTCAAATTGGACGCTGCTGAGGACAAGCTGCGCCGAATTTGCAGATTCGACGCACATACAACAAACGTTGCGTGCCGTTCTAGAGCGTGTGGTGCTACATCATCAACTTCTTCGGGTACGTTAGTAGTATTGGCCACTGAACATGATTTACTAGAGAGCAGTCCTAACTAGATATGTTCAATGGAAGATGGTAAAACCAAGCCAAGATTCTCGTGCCGCAAAGGCCGCGAGGCGGACCCTCGCAGCATTGGGAACACCACGAAAAAAACGACGAACAAATGCAGCTCCCGTCGAAGCCGTTGAAGCTGAAGATGCAAGGAAACGGCTTGCACGTCACGAAGAAACTATGAAGCGGAACGCTGCTGCTCAACTGCAGCCCCGTGGTGCGAAGCGTAGCAAGACAAAGACGAAGGATCGACCTATCGATGGCGACCGAAGTGAAGATGCAAAAGGTACGCTTCGCATACTAAAAGCGGGTTTTATGTCCAATCGGAGTAACAAGGCTCCTGTTGTGTGGGTTTTGCAGCGTTTTACGCTGCCGTCGATGCTCCCTTTCTTCGTGTATGCGGTAGTTGTGGTGAAATCACCAAGTCCGAGCATGCCTCAATGAAACGATTTGATCCGGGTGCAGATCTGTACCGTCCCCTTTGTAACAGCACTGGCGAATGTGAGGTCATACCAGAAGCACTTGTGAACGACGAACATTGCGGCACATCTATGATTTGGTTTTGTCGACGATGTGAAACTTCCTTGCAAAAGAAAAAAGTGCCTAAATTTTGTAGGGCTAGTGGTTTCCGTGTGGCTCCTGTACCT